CCGTTTCACTTCCCAAACAATGCAAGACCCTGCCTGGGAAGGCCGCCGCTAGCATTCTCGCCAGAAGCTCGCTTGCCCACCTGTACTCCCGCAAGTTTCTCCTCAGGCCCACGGTGTCACCATGAACAAAGGCCCCAGTGGTAAAGGACCGCCGGCCCCCGATGTCCTCCGCGGCCTCTCTGACGCGGGTCTCGTCAGGAAGCTCCTCACAGCAGCTCCTTTTCGGCGGTAACGCCCCGCTTCAGACACTTGCACCAGGGCCCCCCACAAAATTTGTGGGCGGCTCGAAGCGGAAGATTTTCTCCTGGTCCCCCACCTGCTCATCGTCCTCATCCGTGGACTCGGGCTCCAAGTCCTGGATCTCCCCCTCGCTAGTAGAAGAGCTCGAGGCCACGAAATCCGCGAGGATGGATTGTGCCACCCATTTGCAGAGTCCGGAAGGCCACTGCTCCGTACCTGTCGTGGCAAATGGAGCACCAGAGCGCGGCTGCATCCGAGTGGACGTAGCACGTCGCGGCAAGGGTCCACGATAGAAGCCAGCCTCATCAAACTCCGGAAGCCCAGTCTGCATGAACGGCAGCAGTGGCTGCGTGGTGCGAAGCAGGAGCCGAGTAGGTTTGGGATAGCTCGCCCCAAAGTCCGCCTGGTGGAAGACGACGTGCCGCGCATTGCAATGTCCAGCGATGGCTCGAAAGGAAGGCCGTGCCCACATGGAAGAAGGGCGCAACCCAGGCGCCACGGCACCCAGATCCGGTTGTTCCAAAAGTAAGCAGGCCTTGCCCAAGTCCAGAGTGGCCGCAGCGGCTCGCATGGAGAAGTCGGCCAGGTTGTTGCCCAGCTTGACCTTGCGACGCTCGGCCCAGCGGAGTCCTGGCAGTCCGTCGGGGTGATCACGCGAACGAAGCGGCCGTGGCCCGCGCTTGTTGCGCGGGGGAGCTCTGCTGAAGGTGGAGCAGGGCGGGCTCAGGACCACAGCAAGTAAACCCCCGACCGAATCCTATCAAGAAATCTCCTGAGTTTTCGGGTTAGACAAATCAGTAAAAGGTTTGCGAATGATGTCAATGGCTTCCACCTTGAGCGGGAGCCTGTAGGAAGGTGATAACTTTGTAAGCCAAGATTCCAACGAGCGCCGACGTTGCTTTCCGCAGAACAGGCAAAGAATCCTCAGCTAATCCCCGTGAAACGCTGCGCCCCCGTCGGTTCCAAGTCAGTGCTTTCCCGCCGTATCGGCAGGCTTCCGCTTTGGACACCCAACGAAGTTGCGGTTGCGGTCGAAACAATGGCTGCAAATGTGCTTGAACTTGCAGTTGGCGAGGGAGCAACCCTCCTCGGTGTTGTACCTGAAGCAGATTGGCTCCCCAGTCTTTGTGGCCGCAGAAGGAGCGGCCCCCACGTCCGCGCCCCTTGGCACCCTTTGCGCCCTTTTGCCCCTTTCCCGGTGGCCGAGGGATCCAAGTCTGCCTGGGCGACTGGGCGGCATGTTGATGTTGCCATCGGGCTTACGCTTGGAGTAGAGCGAGAGCGGAGTTGAGAAGTGTCGTTCCTTAGTCACAGGATCTTTCCAAGCCCGCTCCCAAGAGGCCCCCATGGGAGACCCATCGGCAACCATGTAGTGGAAAGCCTGTTTGCGGATGGCCTGTTCATATGCAAGGACCAGCTGCCATGGAGGGGTGTGAATGACGTTGTCAGAGGCATCCCTCGCCTGGAGATTATGGACAGAATCCCCCAACAAGTACTCCTTGTACCGCTCGAAGAGGTCAACACTCAAGTCCTGCAAATCGGCCCGCCCCGGAGACTTCATGAAAACTTTTCCTGTGACTTTGACG